TGACCAGCACTCACGGGGACCCCTCAACAGACTGAGGTGGACAGGAGGACAGAGACACTTGTTGGGACCCTGTCATCCCCTCTCCACCTGCACCACACGCCAACCAAGTGACAGACAACAGAGGACGCAGGCAGAAAGACCAGCCGGGGCAGCGCCACGGCCCCCTTGTGCCCCCTGGTGGTGAAAAGAAAGAAAGACAAGAGCAAGCGAGGGAAAGCTAAAGGAGACTGGACTAGCCTGGTTGCTGCTCTGACAATGGATGAGTCTTGCTTGGCCAACAAGTGAGTCTACTCTGGGTCTGCTGAGGGGAACCGCCCCATATCATCACTCTGCCTGGTGGCCTGGATCCTGCCCCTCACTGGCAGGGTCTTCTGCTCCTCCCACTCTGAGCTGGGTTTCCCCATCCAGGGTGCTAGGCCGGGCCTGAGTCACTTCTCAGGCGGCACGCTTGGGAATTGCTGTGCACAAGGGACAGGCTCAGGCTGCAGAGCCCCACTCTCCACGTCCCAGCCATCCAGGCCCTCCCAGGTGAGTAGCAGGGAGAGCCCTGGGTCTAGGGTGGCAGGGAGAGGATACTAATGCCCAGAGCGAGGGTCCTGGATTGGGATGAAGGTAGGAGGAGGGACATCTGGCTGTCTGTGGATTTCACAGAGGATCTGGGCTGGAAGGGACTACAGAGACCCTCAGTCCAATCACTAGGCCTACAGATGGGGAAACTGAGGCTCAAGGAAGACAAGTGACTTACCCGTGGTCACACAGTGAGTGAGGGTCAGGACGCCTGACTCCCACCCTTGTGCTCCCTGCACCCCTCCCCCACCCATCATTTACCTTCATCGCACCAGCCCTCAGGGCCACAATGTCCCAGTGTGAGGCCCAGGACTGTTGGGAGAAGAGTAGACTGAGGTCTCCCACAGGGAGAGAGCAGCAGGACTAACACCAGGCACCCAGCTCCCCACACAACCAGCCTCAGACCCAGTCCCAGCTCTGGGCCTCGCTCTCCTTCTGCCTCCCTCTTCTCAGAGAACACACATTTTCCACTCAGCTGAGGCCCTGGAAAGGATGACTGTGTGACTCAAGGACGGTGACTGCTCTGGCAAGGCTGAGGGCTCTCTGTGGGGAAGGGAGGTGAGGTTCCCCCAGCCCACAGTCCACCTGGCATGGGCACTCACCCTGAGGGCACACAGACCTCAACTCAAATTCTGGCTCCACCACTCAGCTTTGAAATGTCAGATAAAAGCCTTATCCTCTCTGTGCCTCAGGTTCACCTTGTGTGAAATGGACTTAATAACCTGCTGGGGTTATTGTAGGGATGGAAGGAGACAAGGATGTCAAGCTATGAGCACAGTGCCTGGCACCCAGGGACTGCTCAGAGAGTGGTGGCGACACCGGCATCTTCATACACTGGCCTACAAGAAAGAGCTGGTTCACCCCACTAGTTGACTCACCATGTGAACCTAGACAACTGGCCTTCCCTCTCTAGGCACTGATTCCTCCTTTGCATAAGGAGACAGATGAACAGCTGAGCCCAGAGGGTCTTTCCTGGGCTGCCTTTCCAAGCCACAAGGAATCACATCATTCTCAAGTACACATGGCAGAAGAGGGGGCTATCCTCAAAGTCACCAAGGACCTGAAAGGTGAGTGTGTCCTGAGAGA